AAGCTAGGTTTGAGTTGTTCGAGATGTTTGGAAGAATTCCCTCTGTGAGGTCTAGTGGGTTTTCTCATCACATTTTACCAACCTCACCTCATTAATTACCTCTCCCACCCTGTGGCGTCCCTCACATCCGACTTTGGCTTCAATTTAGCAGATGCCAGCCCGTATCTGTCAAGGACATTTCAACAAGGTGTTGAGGAAGGGGGAGGATGGGACCTGTCAAGGGTGTGGCACAAGGGAGGAGTCCTCTTTCTGAAGGACTACCAAACAAGGCTATAACAGCAGACCCTGGCAGCCTGGACAGAGGTTTACCACTCAGCTTACAGACATCGCCATGATTGAGAAAAATGGCTAATAGTGCCATAAAAGGGTCAATGATCTTCTCTGCTGCATCAATGCAAGTGCAACACTCCTGTCTCTGCCAACGCGTATTCACTATATCTCTGGTACTGCCTCTACCTCCCACCAAGGAACATGCTCTAGCACTCACTGTTGCCCGGAACTTCTTCCCTCACTTACTCTTACTGTCTCTACCCTCCACATTACTAATGCTGCAAAGATCTGTGCTGCCTCCTCAGTTACCCTGAAACACCTCACCCTGCATTAGGAATAACAACCGCACTACTCATTTTGAGGGATGCAATAGCCCTCGTGGCCAGAAGCTGCAGTGGTACAGTGTAGCATGGAAGCATCTGTCTGCCTCCCAGGTCAGCCTGGTGACTGCCAGACTGCAGGGTCTGATGGGAAGGCGCGCACTATGCACCCTATCACTCCCGCTCCCACGTGTCCTCAGAACGAAGGACAGAGTGACAGGGAACCTGGTACATGCTCCACATGCCCCTTCCTCTTCAAGATTGCCCTGACCAGTAGTGTATGCCCTGGACTGTAATGGGAGGCTGTCCTTGATTGGCTACTCCAGGACTCTCTGACTGACTGGTGCTCACATGGACTTGAGGGAATATTCCCCTAAGTTGTTTTTGACCTCGCTGTTTGCTTGATGCACATGCAGTATGTTTGTCATGTAAGCTGCTGTGCAGATGTGAGATGGGTGTAGTGCACTGTCATACAGCAATATGTAGACCTTTTTGACTGAGGATTTCAGACAAGCCAGGCAAGCTGCCTGGCTCTGTGCCTGTATTCATCGGTACAGCAAGGCAAGGCATGGATACTGTGAGCATGCAGGTAGACATTAAGTGACTGAGTACAAAAAGACCAAGTGACCAGCCCTGAGATACATCAGTATGGTGAATAATCAGGATGCAGCATCATCCCAAGAGGGCTGGATTACAATTCTGTATCAAACTAGGTGATTTGTCATCAGGACAAGACTTGGCATTTTAAGCACAAATCTCACAGACATTGCAATAAATTTAGCCTTTATTTTTGTTCAATTCATTGGATGTAGATTATGCACTTGGATTAATCTGTTGATATGCAAGTGTAGAAGATTTCACTAATTATAGTGATAAGATGGTGGATCATTATGTGTATTTTTCAGTAGAATGTTGGACTGGGTCCAGAACAAAGATCTCCCCTCTTTAAGGTTTTAGTGTGATAGTATTTTGTAACAATCACTTTTTTCTTGGATTATGGACTAGAAAGTAGGAAAAAGATGCTGCTTTAAACCAAGAATTATGATCCCAGTCAACGTTATTACCAGACAAATCAGATCACAAACTGAAATGTGGTTTGATAGTTTTTTTTGTTTTATTTGGTTTTATATGGTACACTTGCACTGAAACATAGGCATATGATGCTGCAGATTTGGTTTTAAGGATAAAACAGAAGTTTATTACAAAAAATAAATTAAGATAAAACAGAACAAACCAAACCATTTATACTTAACACAATTTTACAGACTTCAAAACACATAGCAATATAAAATTCCATCTATTCCTGACATCATCACTTTACAGTGCACAAATATCACAAAGTTTGCTTCTTGATCAAATCTGTAGCTTTGTTTTAACTGTTTCTTTTGTTTCTTTCAATGTCTGATCTTGAGAGCTTCATAGCCTCTTCCTTGATTATTCAAAAACTGAGCTTAAATGACCCTTTCAAGTTTCTAATCAAACACTTCTGATTTGAAATTTTTACTGACTGTTCTGGCCTAACTCCTTCCTCCAGGAAAAACTGTTCTTACGCCAACATTTGAAGCAAAAACTCTCCAGTCTATGATTTTTGTTTTCCAAAATGAAAATCACTTTTCATTTCTTTGAAACCAAAAGCAAGCTAATGACATTCAATATTTGTTCTCACTAATTGTAAAACTCTCCCAATACAAGCACATTCCCATTATCACTCCAGGAGCACCCCAGTCAGCTGTATACTTATGCATTCTGGTTTAAATCATGGTTTCAAAAACAGTGGCAAGTTAATCATTAAACATACATGAGGGGCAAAATCCAAGTGCCTCTAGATCAAAATTGAAACTCTGAAATAAGTTATATTCATGTATAAATCTCACACCTCACAACACGTGAGGAACAGTGGAAGAAGATGTTGTATTTTTTAAAATGAGTTACTAGAACTCATGTGAATTGCATCTACTATGTTGCTGTATTCAAGGAGTGGGACAGATTACTAGGCATATTGACTCCATTTTTGTATATTTATGGCAGCTTTGCCCAGGTGCAGTCCTTCGATTGGCTTTTCAATTGTTCATGGTGATTTGGGGGTAAGTGCAGTCTTATTGCAAGATGATTTGTCAGGAACAGAAGATGTCAGTGGGGAACTTTAAAGAAATTAAACCATTATGAGTGGAAGTACTCTACAGTAGACAGAGGCTTTGGGGTTATTTTTGACTCTTCAAAATTTGGAAGTCTATCTGACAGGGATACAAAAAAAACATTAATCTATACTCACCACAATCTACTAATTACAAACTGCTAATTAAAATGTTTAAAACCTGAAATACAAGATTATTCAGATGGAGATCACCCAATGTATGGAATGTTCATGTTGCTGGTGAAAATAATATGAAAGCAGACACACTATCTGGAATGTGAAAATGGTGGTTAAGAATATAAGGTAATATAATTTCATTGACCGATTGAGGACTTGCCCTTTCAGTCTCTGATGATGCTATTTCCTCTCTTCGCCTCAATTGAGGAATTTGCGGTGATCAGTTTCCTTGTTAAGTAGTGAGTGAAATCAGCTACTAAAATATTTTATTTTACTTTTCCAACACAGGAGGGAGAAAGAGACTTAAGTGTTTTCTCCTCCACAGACTGGATATTTATCCTCTATTGTCAACATGTAGACTGTAGCTATTTGCCCAGGAACCAAACAAGAGACTGATGCTGTGCTGAGCTCTCTTAAACCAAAACAATTGGACAAATGGAAAACTGATGAAAGGACTGTTTCTGAGCAAAACTGCCCTGAATACATCCTCTTCCACAGCTTGATTAAGGCAACAGTGCAGATACAACTCACAATGTAATCTAGCAACTCTGCAACATCTTCCACAGTTTCTTTAGCCTAAAGCAGTATTTTTCCCCTTATTTTAGATTACAGTTCAGACGAGAATGAAACTGGGCTTTATTCACCTCCATTCTCATTACAGACAAGCCACAATTTCAAAAATACAATCAGAGATAGCAGGAACTGCAGATGCTGGAGAATCCGAGACAACAAGGTGCAGGTCTGGATGAACACAGCAGGCCAAGCAGCATCATAGGAGCAGAGAGGCTGACGTTTCGGGCCTAGACCCTTCATCAGAAAAGGGGGAGGGGAAGGGGGTTTTGAAATAAATAGGGAGAGAGTGGGAGGCGGATAGAAGAGGGATAGAGGAGAGGATAGGTGGAGAGGAAACAAACAGGTCGAAGAGGCGGGGATGGAGCCAGGAAAGGTGAGTGTAGGTAGGGAGTTAGGAAGGGGATAGGTCAGTCCAGGGAGGATGGACAGGTCAAGGGGGCGGGATGAGGTTGGTCGGTAGGAGATGGAGGTGCGGCTTGAGGTGGGAGGAGGGGATAGGTGGGAGGAAGAACAGGTTAGGGAGGCAGGGACGAGCTGGGCTGGTTTTGGGATGCGGTAGGGGGAGGGGAGATTTTGACACTTGTGAAATCCACATTGATACCATTGGGCTGCAGGGTTCCCAAGCGGAATATGAGTTGCTGTTCCTGCAACCTTCGGGTGGCATCGTTGTGGCACTGCAGGAGGCCCAGGATGGACATGTCGTCTGAGGAATGGGAGGGGGAGTTGAAATGGTTCGCGACTGGGAGGTGCAGTTGTTTATTGCGAACCGAGCGTAGGTGTTCTGCAAAGCGGTCCCCGAGCCTCCGCTTGGTTTCCCCGATGTAGAGGGAGCCACACCGGGTACAGCGGATGCAGTATACCACATTGGCAGATGTGCAGGTGAACATCTGCTTGATGTGGAAAGTCTTCTTGTGGCCTGGGATGGGGGTGAGGGAGGAGGTATGGGGGCAGGTGTAGCACTTCCTGCGGTTGCCGGGAAAAGTGCCGGGTGTGGTGGAGCTGGAGGGGAGTGTGGAGCGGACAAGGGAGTCACGGAGAGAGTTGTCCCTCCGGAAAGCAGATAAGGGTGGGGAGGGAAAAATACATTTCATTTCAAGGTTTATGGCACATAGACAACAAAACACAAGACTTACATCCATTCATCTCTTATACAAGTCTCACACAATCACTATTGCCTCTTCCAACTAACCTGCTTGAGCATATATACCCTCCCCTGCAACTAACTACAAACTGTTTCAGGTGTCAATGAACTGTTTCTAGGTCAACAGTAAGCACAAATGTTTCATTTCTGATCGCATAATCAAGCCTTTATAATCTGCCGTACATGCTTCATGAAGATGCTTTCATCTAGAGTTATTGATATTTTGTTCTTTGTGATTTGTAGTCAACATGTTAAATTTCTGTGGAATTTATGTTGTGAAACTGAATTTAAAAAAAACTAATATTTAACACTTCATAACTACCATGTAAATATGAGATGCTCTCATATTTGAACACAAAGATGGCCAAATGTGCTTTTATTTCAGGAGTAGCTGTACTTGAAGGACCAATGTATGCAGTTGGTGGACATGATGGTTGGAGCTACCTTAACACTGTAGAAAGGTGGGACCCACAAGCTCGTCAGTGGAACTACGTTGCAAGCATGTCAACTCCAAGAAGCACGGTAGGAGTTGCTGCATTAAATGGCAAGTAAGTAGCTGCAGATTGACTGTGTTAAAAATTAAAATGACTCAAAAAAACTGCACGTTGTTTAAAGTTACATTACTAAAATTAAGCTCACTAAATGTACTTATTGCTAAGTGATAAAAGAGCCTGAATTTGCAACCAATTGTGGCGTGACAAAAAATAAAATTCTGATGTTAAAGAAAAGTGCCCACAAGAATCTAGTGACATCTGTGTTTTCCCTTGATGTTATTTGAACCTGGCACCAAATTTACAGAATCTTTAAGCGTTCAGCAGCAGTGATGTCATCAGGCAGAGTAAGTAGCCGGTCACATTGAAGAATTCTCACCGACAGAAAACCAGTTCTTAAAAATGTATCCATAATTCTTCATTTGACATAATTTATTCAGGGCAAAAAAAGAAATCAGGACAATACGTTAATAATTGAAATATGATAAACATACTAAATGTCTTAACGATAAAAAAAAGAACTTTCACTTATCATAGAAAGAAATTGACATTTCCTGCATACAGAATTAGTGTTTCAAAGTCAGATAAGTTTGTTCCGAAGTAGTTATAATTTATGCTACTATCAAACCCCGAGCAGTTCATGATGGTTCCACACAGGATACTCCAAACAGTTCACCCTGGAGGGCTTATGTGGGATGAAATGGTTCCATTACTTTATTCAGCTATTCCCTTGGTTGGTTGCAACGAGGTTAATTTATAAAGGATCCCTTCCCTGTGGATAGTTTGCTCCCAGACCCAAAAATGAACTTATGTTTTACAGGGAGTCAATTCAATCAGGCTTTGAACTGAGTCAACAAAGTTTATTAGAATAGAATATCCTTTATTGTCACAAGAATTCAAGTACAGAAGCACAGTGAAAAGTTTACACGTCACCTCTCATGGCATCATCTTAGTGAAAAGTACCTAGGTGCAAATCTTACATGCAAAAAGAGGAATAAAAAAGGAAGTTGCATTATTTCAGTGATTCATAGTATAAGTCGGAAATAAGACATAATTAAAAGGATAAATATTACTGTCAGATGAACAAATTACAGATAAACATTACATTGCAGTAGCTCAGCACAGGGGCTTCCACACGTGGTCTGACCAGCCTTGCAACTTGCTGACTGGCCGTGCTGTACCCCAAACCAACTATTGTCCCGACTCCGCTCCAGCTGTCAGATGCTCCAGGCCTCCAGCCGGCCTGCTCTGCGCTGCTACAGGCCTCCAGCCTGCTCCGCACTGCTCCTGGCCTCCAGCCTGCTCCGCGCTGCTCCAGGCCTCCAGCCTGCTCCGCACTGCTCCTGGCCTCCAGCCTGCTCCGCGCTGCTCCAGGCCTCCAGCCTGGTCCGCTCCAGGCCTCCAGCCTGCTCCGCGCTGCTCCAGGCCTCCAGCCCGGTCCACTCCAGGCCTCTAGCCCACTTTGGTCCAGCAAGCTTTCTTATCAGAAAGAAAAACACCTTAAAATCTTAGAAAAAAAAAGAGAGGAAGAAAAGGGGGAAAACAAATAAAAAACTGGATGGATTGATGAGCCCTGGGCTGAGGAGCCTGAACGCTACCTACTCCGCCATCACCATCTTGAATTAATTACTATATGTGAGAAGAATCAGTAATGTAACAGTTATAACACATATATCCTATATATAATAAGTCCAAAAAGATCAAAATTAAAACAAAATACCAATCAGTCTCTGAACTATTCACAAAGATTGAGTCGTTGAATTTTATGGCTATTTACAGTGGAGGCTACTGATAGGATTGACATTGATGGACAAACAGTTAGCTCCTTGATCTTCAGTTTTGCAGATGGTTTGAGATTCAGTTGGGTGATGCCTTTTGACTGTGATTTAAGTCCAACATTCAGAGTGAGAGGGATCCTTTGTTGTCCTTTTACCTTTTTAACTCAAAGTTAGAGAGGATCTTTACCTGCAACACAAAGATAACCAGGAGATAATTCTTTGAATGTTACCTTCACAGCACACTACTGCTCAAACTTAAGCTGGTAAACACAAGACCATTCAGTCCCACTAGTCCATTCCAGTGCAGTTGAAATTGCTTTTTAAGCCTTGTCATTGTGTGTTTTTGGAAGGCAAAACAGATATGTCTGTAGAGGTTGCTTCCTGCTGATAGCAGGAGAAGTCAGCCTCTTTATTATCCCTTCTTAAGTTTCTCCTTGTTTTATATATCCATGACAATTTATCTGTAATATATTGGATGGCCTTCACACAGGACTTTTCCAGATTGTCACTGAATATAAATCCACAGATCTTTTTCTTTTGTGAAATCCTCCTTTTAAAAGCATTTTAGAATTAAAAGTTAAAAAAGTGTGTAAATATTTTGGGGTTCTCTTCCATCGTCATAACAATTAGAACACCATTTAAAACTGAATTAGACCTTAACTTTTCATTGGCCTTAGACAGCAACATTACAAAATAAATTCTCATCAGTTCATTGATTTCTAAAGACTACCATCAGCAAGAACACCAACACAAAAACATACAGAGGAGGAGGGAGTCATAAAGCAACTGGTGGATTTTCACATTCAACCAAATATGTGTGGATACAAGGTGTTGCTACCTGTGCCACAGAGTAATCACGATGAACACAACTCATTTTACAATCTCAGAATCCAGGCATTGAGCACTTTACTGCAGGAAACAAAAAGCTATACTTTAAATCCTTAATACCCCATCTTCTGATATAAGGAAAATTTGCAAAAGTGTTGGCAATCTGAAACAAGGAATACTGAAAAGACACAATATTAGTTTGTGCCCAAACCCTTCCAATGGGCTCAAAAGAGAAACAGGCTCCATTATATGACTGAACAACACAAAAGTGTGAGGAATAGTAGTAGACGTCAAGTTCTTAAAAATACTGCAAAGAAGGAAGATCTAGCGAAAAAGATTTAAAATATTGAAATTGCTAAGGAAGGCAGTGGAAAACCAAGCTGGCTAACAGCCTGAGGCTGCCTAATAGCTAGCATTATTTTCAAATTTCTCCTGAGAGGCATTGATGCACACAGCTCTTCTTAATAGATGGAATGTTCACCCACGCAAACAATTTTAATACTTGGCATGCTATTTACCTGAAGACATGGTGTAAGTACAGGGAGAGCAGTTCAACACACCTAAATGGTACCTTTACAGTCACCCAGTGATCGGGAAAATAATAACTTTGAAAAGCGAATAGGGGAGGTTTGAAACGCAAGGTGATGGGAGGAAAACAAGCAGAGAGCAAGACTCAGTGTTTTGCAGGCTGCCCGGGGAAGAATAATAAACAGATATTGAAGTATGTACTAAGCTTCATTGTAGAGTGTAGATCAATGATTGAGAAGGCACAGCAGGAGCGGGAGGAAGATTTGATGGTGTGAGTTGCAGTGAAATCAGGATTACAGCAAAATCATCAATACAACAGACAAAGAAGTCAAAGTAGTGGTGTTGCAACAAAGCATGTTCCATATCCTACAAAACAAAAATAGGCATAACTGGGAGCTACTCTGTTTTCTGTCTTGTAGTTGGAAATTCAAGTTCAAAAACAGACACAAGGTTTGAACAAATCTGGCAAAACCCCGCTATTTCAGCCACAACATGACATCACAATGCGTTGACCAATAAAAGCAAGTGTACCAAATGCTTTCTTCACCACCCCGTCTATCTGTGATTCCACTTTCAAGGAACTATGAGCCTCTCTTTATTCAGCAACACTCCCTAAGGCACTACCACTAACTGCCTAAGCCCTGCCCTGATTTGCCTCACCAAAATGCAACATCTCACATTTATCTAAATTAACCTTCATCTGCCTCTCCTTGGCCCATTTGATCAAGATCCCTTTGCACTCTGAAATAACCTTCCTCACTGTCCACTACACCACCTATTCTGCAAACTTACTAACCATTCCTCCTATATTCACAACTAAATCATTTATATTAATGGCAAAAAGTAAAGCAGTGGACCCAGCACCGATCCTCGTCGCACGCTGCTGGTTGCTAGTCACTGGCCTCTAGCCCAAAAAAAACAACTCTCCACCACCAGCCTGTTGTAAGCTCCTGGGTAATTCCAAAAAAAATGTGCCAGCTTAACATGTCACTCTGATTTGCAGAGAACTGGTCCCTGCATATGAATATATGTCATATTCCGGCAAGCATAAATAGGTCATGTTAAGAGCTCAACTGATCATTTTCAATTGGTTGTTAAAATAGTTATAAGCACACTCAAATGTCCTAAAAGCGCTGCTCAATCACAGAATCACATCTAACAGTTTTGTTTGGGCTTTGCAATTGTGCGCTGTTGAACACAGTCTGTACTCGCCCCATCATAAACAACTGAATAGAGATAATATTTGATACAAGCAACCAAACTTTGGGATGTACTCTCGGTGTACCATTGCATGGTCACTGAAATTCATGCATAACATTACTCAAATTTTCTGATGGACCAGAACTTCTTTTTGGACTGATGGCAGCATCCGTTTAATGGGAAAATATATTTGCATGGCCACTGTATAGCTGCAGCCAGAAATGTTAACATCTTGTCCCTTTTTTGCTGCAGTAACAATTTCACTGTGGAGAGAAATCATCTTGAGTTTATTCCAGATAAGAAATACTGACTGGATAATCCATATTGAAAATATAGGGTTACATAGGGAAAAGATACTAAGCGAAGGCAGTGACCCACAAGATATTTAAAGAACAGAAATAATTGCTATTAACATCACTTGTTACTACCAAATTTGCAGCTACTCTATTCTCAAATTCCATCAAGATCAATCACATTAAATGGAATAAGCAACTTCAGGAATATATTAATATTCCAAAAGCCTGCCTTTAAATCTTGCCCATTGTTCTGTAGGGAAAGAACAAAATTGAACAGCAGTTAACAATGTAGACATATCAATTGAAATTTAATTACTGGTGATGAGAACATGAATCCCTATAGTATTGTGAGAGACAGTGCAATTTTATTGATTTAATCCATTCTGACATCTAATGAATCCCTCAAAAATAATACTCTTTTCTTGCAAAGTCGTCATTTTAATGAAACCATTTATACACCTTACTGAAAACAAACTATTTCCCATTCTCCTTTTCTCATGTAACAACTTGACATGGCAGGAGACCTAATCTGCTGAAGTGATGTGGGCCAGCCCAGCTTTTTGTACTCGTGTTTCTTCATTGTGCGTTGAGTTCTGGACTCGCATATAGTCACACACCCTTGTCCATTCATTCCCAAGTTTTCTCTCATCTTTGTCTGAGGTGCTTACATGTGCTTGGGAATAGCTCCTAGAATTTTGAAGCCCTCTAATAACTCAGTCAAATTGCTGTTTTTCATAGATCAAAATGACTGTGAATGCCTACTTTATAATGGTAGACATTACAACCAAGTCTAATCATATCTTCACCTGAAAACAACAATGAATAGGAAAGCTATTTGAGATGTACTCTTTTAAAAGGGGTGACACAAAGTCTAGTAGTCATACAATAATTTTTTGCCACTCCAGCTGGGATTCACTTACTCAGCATAGATTGAAAATCAGCCTGTGACTAGCAACCAGCAGCGTGCTACAAGGATCGGTGCTGGGTTCGCTGCTTTATGTTTTGCCATTAATTGTAATTTGCAAATTGCAGATAAAAAATTTGATAACGTTTCTAACATGTGGGCAGCATGAATCTAATCCTCTGTGGTTGCACTGGCTACTGCAGGGGTTCAACCATATCATCAAGGTTCTCCCCTTATTTTGTGCATGTTGTGAAATCCTTGATGTGACTGTTGTGTTTTGCAGGCTGTATGCAGTAGGTGGGCGAGATGGCAGCTCCTGCTTACGATCAATGGAGTGTTTCGATCCTCACACCAATAAATGGAGCATGTGTGCTCCCATGTCCAAGAGAAGAGGTGGTGTGGGAGTTGCTACGTGCAATGGTTTTCTTTATGCAGTGGGAGGACACGATGCCCCTGCCTCTAATCACTGCTCCAGGCTTTCAGACTGTGTGGAACGGTAAGAATGAACAAATGTGTTTTCTTGATCCTTTCAGCTAACTTATTTCCATGTCTGTAAGTAGACTCATACTGCATGAAATATTCCTTAATGTCGTTGAACAACCTTAAGAATTGAGAAATCAGATGAAGTATGGTAATGGCAAACAGAAATTATACTCAAGTTGTACAATGTTTAAAAGAAACTAACATTTGATTGTATTGCTTTAAGAGATATACTAAACAATGTTATTTTAGAAAGGCAGTAATTTTAGCACAGGAAGTGGCCATCCAGCTTTATGGCTATACCTGTGTAATCTCCACATTTCAACCATCTACACATAATGAGTTCCTAGCTGTTCCAGTGTAGTCTTAATATTTGTCTTGCTTAAATATTTGATCATTTTGAATTTAAATATTGCGACTAAATTAAGTTTGGTGAATGTCATATTCAACGAGAAGTTTTTAAAAAGTTTCTTTCATCCTAACTTCCATGTACTGGTACCAACCTAAATCTGTGGGTGGAATTTTCCCAGCATCTAAGTAATGTGGGCAATGGTAAAAAGTTTGGGAGAATGGAGCAAGAATAAAAGAGTCAGATTTGTGATGTTGAGAGAAAATGCCCAAATTTCCCCTCAGGGTTTCATTGGCGAAATGAGAATCTTGCTAGTAAGTGATGAATGGCTTATTATTATGCATTAACATCTAATTATTACCTAACACGGTCTCATTTATAGGCACTGGTAAGAAACTAGGTAGTGCCAATTCCAGACTTGAATATCAGAGCAGGAATCTGGCGTCCCAGCTTACTGGCATCTCCTCTGCACTTCATATTGACCAGCATTCCCCAACATCTCAGAGCATTCTCCATGAGCAGTGACTCCATTATCCCTCCATTCACGGAGGTTGGCACCCACAAAGCATCAGCTTCATCACATCATTGCAAATATCAAATTAACTTTTTATAGTCATCCACTGCAATATCACCCTTTAGAGCTCATCTACTCCTTACCTTGCAATGCAGCTGCCAGGTCACAGTATATGCAGAGGCAGGCACTCGGTGTTTCCACTCTGTTTTGATGCAGTTACAGTTCTTAGCTTGCTTTCCCAGAATCACTTGGATGCTCACAATTTCACTGCCTTGTCTTGCCTTTTAGCACAGACAAAAAGCCAAGCAGCTTTCCATCACTGCCCAGTAAAAGGGAGCAAGCATGTTGCTGTATGGCTACAATTACAGCATGTAACAGAAGCTTACATGGCAAAAACATTGCAAGTGCTTCAACCAAAAGACCATGTCTAAAAGTGTAAGGTCAGGGGGATGTGGGGAGGTGGTGGTGTTGGCGAGTAGGTTCTTACTCCAGCCAAGGAAGACTTTGGTCAGTCAGCGGGGCCACTGCAGTTAGTGAAGGGCATCTTCCAATCTCACTGCAGGGGTTGGCCACGGTCAGTTCTTCAAGTCGGGTGAAACTAGTTTAGGGATAGTCAATCAAATCAGGGAGCTGCACAGAAACCAGACACCACACTGTCCTAAGTGGCTACTTCAGACCAGGCAGGCAGTTTCAAATGCCATGGTGTCCTTCAGTGGTTCTGGAGAAAGAGACTGAACCTTTTCTTCACTACGTCTTCCAATAGGGCGTCCAGGTCCTAGTTAGCAAAGCTGTCTCAGCCATGTTGTACGGAATAGCATAACAGTACACTGAAGGCAGTTCCTGGCTTGCATCATTTCGAAAGAGTGTGCAGCTGCTGTTTAATTATGGTGACCATGATATGAACCTGCGATCCTGCTGCATCCAGTCAAGAAAGGTGGTGGACAACTGAATCAACTCAATGGAGGAAGTCCCACCAATAATGTCCCTATGCGCAATAGTGGGGGAGCCCAGAACATCAGTTAAAAAGATAAAAGTGAAGCATTGTAACGATTCTTCAGCCAGAAGGATTGAATGGATGATACATTGTGGCCTGCTCCTGTGATCCTAGATATCAAGGATGTCAGTCTTCAGCCAACTTGATTTGCTCCCCTTGATAAAATATGGCTAAAGGCATTGAGTACTGCAACGGCTATGGACTCTGACAATATTAAGACAGTAGTACTGAAGACTTGAGCTCCACGACTTGCCATGTCCCTAGCCAAGCTGCTTTAGTATGGCTATAAATTGGCATCTACCTGACAAAATTGAAAATTGCCCAGGTATGTCCTGTCCACAAAAAGCAGGACAAATCCAACCTGACCAATTATCGCCCCGATAAACTATTCTTGATCATCAGTAAAGTGATGCAAGGTGTTATCAACAGTGCTATCAGGCACTGCTCAGCAATGACCTTCTCACTGACACTTAGTTTGGGTTCCACTAGAGCCACTCAGCTCCTGACCTCATTACTCCAATAGAGCTGAATCTGGAGGTGAGGTGAGTCAGGATTGTATCCTATGCCCAACCAACTTCAGCTGCTTCTTCAACGACCTTTCCTCCATGATAAATTCAGATGTGAGGATATTTGCTGATGATTGCGGTGTTCGACACTAGTTATAACTTCTCAGACACTGAAGCAGTCCATGTCTGAAGGCAGAAGACCTGGACAATATCAAGGTTTATTAGGATAACAATTAAAGTAACATGCGTGTTACACAAGTGCCAGGGAACAACCATCCCCCACTACCAACATGTCAGGGTTACCATTGGCTAGAAACTACTGTGACTCCAAGATGGATCAGAGGCTAGTAATCTTGCAGTGAGTAACTCACTACCTTATTCTCCAAAGCCTGTTCATCATCTACAAGTCACAAGTCAGCATTATGATGAAATTCTCCCCATTTGACTGGATGAGTGCAGCTCCACCAACAATTAAGAAACTTGACACCATCTGGACAAAACCAGTCTGCTTGTTTGGCACCATATCCACAAATATTCATTCCCTTCACCGCTGACACACAGTAGCTGCTGTGTGTACAAATTATTAAGGCACACTACAGAAATGCATCAACGTCCAAATCCACAATCTGTATAGTCTTGAAGGACAAGGCAGCAGATATATGGGAACATCACCACCTGCAAGTTTCCCTCCACACTATTCAGCATCCTTACTTGGAAATACATTGCTGTTCCTTTAGTGTCACTGCATTAGTGTCCTGGGGTTCCCTCACTAATGACATTGTACCTACAAGTATTTCAAGTACCTTCATCAAATGAACTACGGTGGTTCAAGAGTGCAGCTCACTATCACCTTGTCAAAGGCAACTAGGAATGACAATAAATACTGGCCCAAGCAGTCCAACCCACATTTCATAAACGCATTAGAGAAAAAAAAAATTCTTTTGTCCGTGGGAGAGTGCTTTTGCAGCTTACCTTAGCAGTACTGTCTTTTCTGTAAGGGGATAATCAAAACCGCATTAAACACTGTATGGTCTGCAGTGCTCCTTTCTGAGCTTGGAATCTTGTTTGGTTGAATTATCAGTCAGAGGATCAAGTGTGTTAGATTAGTGTATCTAATTCGAGGCACTCTCAAATTTCTGGTGTTGGGGGTCCTCACTGTGCAAAACTTACCCAAATATCCAACTTTGGCTTGAATAGTGAGTTTTGTCACAGATGTGAACAGATTATTTTCACGGTTTAATATTTTTAAATCTATGCAAATATCTTCTATTCTATCTCAAAACTGCATCTTAAATGTTTGAAAACCATGAACCCCAACAGGATTTAAAATGAGATGACTGTAAGCAGAATTTCCTAAAGCCAATACTGTACAATGTCTTATGAAAATGCTGCATTAAAAGACCTTTGTATTTAGACCAGTTTTGAAAACTAACCTTATTTTTAAATTTATAGGTACGATCCAAAAACAGACACCTGGACATCTGTGGCACCTTTAAGTGTTCCAAGAGATGCTGTAGGAGTATGTCTTCTTGGCGACAAGTTATATGCTGTAGGAGGATACGATGGACAGACTTACCTAAATACTGTAGAATCTTATGATGCACAAAACAATGAATGGACAGAGGTAATAGATCATCAGGAACAAAATAAAATGCATTTATGTAGACTATAGAATATATATTTGAATCCACACTAAGCCCCTTCAAAGGATATCATCTGTGTCGAGACTCACGACCTTTAAAATCAGAAAACGAACAAAAATAGCTGAAGGGCAAGATTTCACATTTTAAGACTTTTACTATAACAAAAACTAAAATTCACAGGGATCAAAAATTAAACTGAAGAAATGATTCTTTACATTAACTAATTAGCAAGATATATTTTACCACCACTTCCATTACGCACCATACTTCTGGCATCTGTATAACATTACAAGACAAATCCATGTATAGTTCTGGCTCTCAAGCAGGCTCAGCTCTCCTTGCCAAACTAAGTTATAATTTCCAGTATCATTTGAATGTTGCTGCACTTTGCCCAAGACCCCCAGACCTGACTTCCATTGGCAAGATTTAGCCTAGGTTACTCCTTGATCATCAGTTCACCAAAAAGTACTATTTCTTCTGTTCCCTTCCTTTTTTGAACAGAAAATAACTTCTTACAAACATCCTACCTCTCTACAGAAGTATTTGACCTCTATCTATCTGGTCTTCCTTTTCTGAGAGTCACTTGATTTCAATTGGTTTCTGTTAAGTTTTATGTCATAGCAACTGGATCCCATAGTACTGTCTGAGCTGGATGTGCTTCTGGACTTCCCAATCTTGCGTTTAGTTAAAGGAGATATTTTAAAGTCCAATGCTCGTAACATAGTGATGCAAAAATGTTCTGCAAGTATACTTCAACTGCATCAATTGTACAAATTTACATTGCTCTATGGCACCGTCCTAGGCTTTACTCTGCATTTATGGACATGATTGTGCACAATTATCAAGTACAATGTAGAAAACAAGCAGAAGAGTGCATATCCATTGAACAGTGCAAACCCTTTCATATATTGGACATATTTACTTATCGGTACCAGGTTCAACTTTACATCTGTTTTTCCTTATTTTCCTTGAAGCAGAGGTGGTATGGGTTCTAATTGTGGGATACAAAATTGAGAGGCATAGACAGAGTAGATCATGAGAATTTCTTCCCCACTGTGAATGTGTCTAAGACCAGGGGCATAAGTTTAATGTGAGCAACAAGTGGTTTAGAGGAGATCTGAGTAAACATTTTCTTCACCCAGAACATGATAGATATATGGAATGTGCTGTCTGAGAGAGTGGTGGAGGGAGGTATTCTTGTAACCTTTAGGAAGGTTCTGGATGAATACTTAAAACGTTGGGGCATAGTCAGTTCTGGACTAAGTGCAGGTAAATGGGATGAGTTTAGTATTTGTTGGTTGGCAAAGCCATGGTGGGCTGAAGGGTCTGTTTCTATGCTGTATGACTCTGCAAAAACAATTGTCTGTACTAAGAAATAACTTTGAAAGAAACAGTGTGGTGAAAATTAATGATCAGTTTAACGAAAGTGCTGCCATTTACATTTACATTCAGAGTTAAATTCCTGTTGGTAAATATTTCTCACTGAGGTGTCTTTTTCACAATCAGTAAGCAAAATCAATCAAGGATAAATAAATTGTGGTTGACAGCTTTACAAACAATAAAGCTAACTGTAAATCCTGAGAACAGCTAATGATAATTAAATCTTAAAAATGAGGAAAATGAAACCGCCATGAGTCAGTTCTTAAACACCACAAATAAGTGAGTCACACATATACCAGATGACCACAAATTCATTCCTTACTACATTTCTGTTCACTATAATCTGCAACTTTTGAAATTAAATCATAGAGCTGTACAGCACAGAAACAGACACTTCAGTCCAACTGGTTCATGCTAACCAGATATGCTCAATTAATCTAGTCCCATTTGTCAGCATTTGGCCCATATCCATCTAAACCTATACATATGCCCATCCAGATGCCTTTTAAATGTTGTAATTGTACCTGCCTCTACCACTTCCTGTGGAAGCTCATTCCATACATGCATCATCCTCTGCGTGAAAAATTTACCCCTTAGGTCCCTTTTAAATCTTTCCCCTCTCACCTTAAATCTATGCCCTCAGTTTTGGACTCCCCTACCCTGGGGAAAAGGCCTTGGCTACTCAGCCTATCAATGGCTCTCATGATTTTATCAACCTCCATAAGGTCACCCCTCAGTCCCTGATGCTCTAGGGAGAAAAACAACCTACATACACAAATCCAGCTCATTATTATGCATCAAAAAGGCAATGATCTTCATACCAACACCCAAGGACATGACTGTCGACATTGTCGGCAATCACTGGCTAACTAATATGATTGTCCACCTAGGGTCCTGCGCAGCTTCTGAAACTTATCCTAGAGCTGAATCTCCAAGTACACATTTGGCAGGTATTTCAGCAAGGTGGAGTTGGTTCTTGGCCTCAAGATTGCTGGTATTCTCAAAGAATTGTGACCCTTCATACAGGAGGTTGCACTAAGTCAGCTTCTTCTGAGCAAGGATCTCCTAGCCATTGATGTCTCTGTTGCATTTCTTGAGTTAATCCTTCAAAAAATCTTTAAAACACTTCCTTGGTCCTCCTCTCGTTCAAATACATTCCTCCAGCTGGAATCAAAGAAGATTTGCTTTGGTGGTTGGAATCAGGCATCCTAGACATGTTGTCAGCCCAGTGGCATTGGTCTTGGATGGTCATGGCCTCAGTGCTGGTGTATTGGTCCTTTCAAGAAAGCCAATGTTAGTGCACCCAACTTCCCAGAATCTCTGTCGCAAATAGCATTGATGATACTTCTCCAGGGCCTTGAGGTGGTATCTGTACATAGTCCAAGTTTTAGAGCATATGGAAGAGCCAGAAGGATGACTGTGTTATATACAAGGATCTTGGTATCAATACGGACATTGCTGTCATCGAAGAATCTAGTTCTTAGTCTCCCAAAAGTGGCGCTCATTGTTCAGATGCAGTGTTGGATCTTTGCATTGATGTCTTAGATGAAAAGTGGCCCCCTCAGGTAGGACAAAGTTTCCACAATGAGGAAGATTTCTCTATTGATCTTTATGATCAGCTGGTGATTCACACATTTGGTAGGAGGAGAATCGCATTGGAGTTGTGATTCCTGACTCCTTCCTGTCTGTTGGGATTCTTGGAGTCTGCTGGTTCTTGGCAAGCTGTAGTGGGTGGGAAGTCATAAAAGTAATTGCTGATGACCATAGGATGCTTTGAGACCCAGTTGATGAGTTCACCCTAGTGGCCATTTCAATTCCATGTGTCTTGCATTGACCCTTGTGTTTTCCTTTCCAGAGAAATGGATAATTACCACAGCCTCAGCTGCCCTTACCTGATCTTTGAGTCTCCTGCAGGGCCGTGGCACCAACATTGAAGTGCCTGAGTTCATGGGCAACCAGGGCAATTCTCCGTCCAACTCAATTGTTTTGCTCGTTATCCATAAGGATTTGTACATTCTACTTTCCAAGATTGAGTTTCACTTTGGTTTTCAGACCACAGGTAGATGAGCCTGCTGGACGTAGTTTTCCAGCCGGGATGGTGACAGCAAAGACTATTTTTAGAGCACCCTTTCTAGCACCTTACCTGTGTAGGGTGAGCACAGCAGATCCTGAAGAAGGCTGCTCAGTCATGAAGAAAGCTGCTGATATGTGCTCCTGTTCCTGTTCCAAGAGAAGCTGCACCACCAAATTGCCAGTCTGAAGCTAGAGACTTCAAGATCTCTCAATCCTGTCCCTGTCACCTCTCGCCGATCACCACAGGGCATGTGTGGTATGTAGATTCCTCTAGGTAGTTTCCTTGTGCAGGGTATTCTTTATGTGGGAATGCTGTTGCACATCAGCAGACATGGTCCTTGACGGAAGGTAGAGATCCAGTTCCAGTGGCAAGAAAACGTAGACACTGGGGATCTCCCTACTGCCACAGCCTTCATCCACCATCACAGCCATTGATGTCACATAAATATCTTCAGCCTGGAATGTCGTTGAGGACTTGGTTTGGTTTGCTGTTGGTTTGGTCCTTTCCCTCTGACCTTACTATCATGGGTGGTCTTGCCAGGAGTTGAGATATCCTGCTGACAACACTCTTGAGACCAATGGAACACTCAAACCTCTCCACCACTGCAAGATGCCAATCCATGGAAAGGATGATTATTTATTTCACCAGAAAGATTCACTATCATTCTCTACTTTCTGTTACTTGGTCAATTCTATATCCATGCTGTCAGTGGACTTTTAATCATATGAAGTTTAATTTTCCAAACAAGGTTAACATCTAGAATTTCTTAAACATCATCTGCATGTACACGTAGACACACAACACTCTGTACCCTCATTGACTTACTCAATCAAGTTACTCAATTCTCTGAATTAGCTTTGAGCAAATTCATGCTGACTTTAATTAGGCCATACTTGTCAAAATATTAATTAATTTTGTCCCAGTTTATTCTTTCCAAGCATCCCCCACTACTGACATTATACTGAATAATGTAGATTGTGGTTTATCATTCCACCCTTTAAAACAGGCTGTAAAATTCTCTCATTCTTTGGCATCACCTCCACATCCAAGAAGAATTGAAAATTGTAGTCAAACTCACTTCTTATATTAACCAAAGGCGATGGTAACCTGCAGGTAGTTGTAACAAGCAGAGAGAGGGACTTGTAGCCCCTCAGTGGAAGGAAGGCTTGTCCTCAAGAGTTCCTGTCCAATCAGATTGGTACTGGTTCTTGCACTTCCAGCAGCATGGATAAGGGGCGCTGCCAGCACTAAAGACATCTCCATTAAGAAGATCAATGGCAAATAGATCAAAGCCTTGGATTTTTTGCAGCGAGAGAGATTGGGCATCCAAATAAGGGATGAGAGCAGATGAGGTTGAGGGGTACTTTGGAGGCTAGCAGAGAAGACAAGGGGATACTTCTTTTTTTTTGGGGGGGGGGTAGTGGGATCTACAGAGGACACCCAAAGACATATATGCCACTTCTTTCCTGTTCTCATTAATAATGGTGAAATAAATTGGCCTTCCCACTTTCTTCCACCATCCCCTGCCCAGTGTATTATGGCAGTGAATGCAGATTGAGATCCTTTAACTGCCTCATGATTGGGAGGTTTAGCTCCCCAGTAGACCTCAGAGCACAAGGTCTAGATGGGCTCCTTAACCACTTTCATCTTATGGGGTTCAGTTTGGGGTGGGTGGGAAAATGGTGGGTACCTACCTATCATATTACCCACATGATGACATGCTGGCTTCACAAATTCTAGCCCCTGAAGTTAAGCCCCAGAGGTTAAAAATCCTAATATAGGTGACATTGAGAATGCTCCATTGTAATGTCAGAAATTGAGACCAAAAGGGAGGAGGTATGTAGGGTCTTGAAAAACATTAAGGTAGACAAGTTCCCAGGGCCTGATGGGATATACCCCAGAATACTGAGAGAGGCAAGGGAGGAAATTGCTTGGGCCTTGAGGGAAATCTTTGTATCCTCACTGGCTACAGGGAAGGTCCCAAAGAATTGGAGAATAGCCAATGCTGTTCCTTCGTTTAAGAAAGGTGGCAGGATAATCCAGCGAATTACAGGCTGGTGAACTATGCGTCAGTGGTAGAGAAATTATTGGAGAGGATTCTTCGAGAGAGGATTTACTCCCACCTGGAAATCAATGGCCGTATTAGTAAGAGGCAACATGGTTTTGTGAAGGGGAGGTCATGTCTCACTAACTTGGCTGAGTTTTTTGAGGAAGATGATCGATGAGGGTAGGGCAGTGGATGTTGTCTACATGGACTTCAGTAAGGCCTTTAACAAGGTCCCTCCTGGCAGGCTGATACAGAAGGTAAAGTCGCATGGGTTCAGAGGTGAGCTTGCAAGGTGGATAAAAAACTTGCTCAGTCATAGAAGACAGAGGGTAGCAGTGGAAGGGTGCATTTCTGAATGGAGGGCTGTGACTAGTGGAATTCCTCAGGGATCAGTGTTGGGACCTTTGCTGTTTGTAATATATATAAATGATTTGGAGGAGAATGTAACTGGTCTGATTAGTAAGTTTGCCAATGACACAAATGTTGGTGGAATTGCAGATAGCGATGAGGACCGTCAAAGGATACACCAGGATATACATGGTTGGTGACTTGGAAGAGAGATGGCAGATGGAGTTTAATTCGGAAAAATGTGAAGTAGTGCATTTTGGAAGGTCTAATACAGAGGAAAATATATAGTAAATGGCAGAATTCTTAAGAATACTGATAGGCAGAGGGATCTGGGTGTACAGGTACACAGGTCATTGAAAGTGGCAACGCAGGTGGAAAACCCAGTCAACAAGGCATATGGCATGCTCGCCTTCATCGGCCAGGGCATTGAGTTTATAAATTTGCAGGTAATGTTGCAGCATTATAGAACCTTAGTTAGGCCGCATTTGGAATATTGTGTTCAATTCTGGTCGCCACACTACCAGAAAGATGTAGTGGCTTTGGAAAGGGTACAGAAAAGATTTACCAGAATGTTGCCTGGTATGGAGGGCATTAGCTATGAGGAGAGGTTGGAGAAACTTGGGTTGTTCTCACTGGAACAACAGAGGTTGAAGGGGGACCTGATAGAGGTCTACAAGATTATGAAGGGCAGGGACAGACTGGACAGTCAGTTGCTTTTTCCCAGGGTGGAAGAGTCAGTTACCAGGGGCCATGGGTTTAAGGTGCGAGGGGCAAGGTTTAAAGGTGATATACGAGGCAAGTTTTTTACACAGAGGGTAGTGGGTGCATGGAACTTGTTGCCAGGGGAGGTAGTGGAAGCAGTGGCTTTTAAAGGGCTTCTTGACAAATATATGAATAGGATGGGAATAGAGGGATACGGTCCCCGGAAGGGTCTGGGGTTTTAGTTGTGATGGGCTGCATGTCGATGCAGACTTGGAGGGCCAAAGGGCCTGTTCCTGTTCTGTAATTTTCTTTGTTCTTTGTTCTTTGTTCTTAAATGCATTTATTTGAATAAAGAGTGAGTTAATTACCACAATATTAATTTTAACTTTTCTAAGAAGTTTGTAAAGTTGTAATGTTCTTTTATAAACTTACTCATTCTTTTATAAACTTACTCACTGGCATTTTTCACATCTACAGGAGGTGCCTCTGAAGATTGGAAGAGCTGGTGCTTGCGTTGTTGTGGTCAAATTGCCATGAAGCACTGAAAAGAATGTATTTTTTTTAAACTGATGACCACAGAGAGTCAAAAAAAATGTTGTATATACAAGATTAAACATTCCAAAAACAGCATCAGCCTCACCACAGATTGGAGTGTGCATTAGGAAGAAGCAGCACAGACTGAGCTGTACTCTGCTGGAGCTACTCAGCCAAATCCAGAATTACACAGAATGCTACAGCCTCATCATAGAAAATATAGTATGTTGATGGAAATTCATCTCATAATTAAATGGCTCTTATCAGAGTTACATCAGGGAATGAAATGATCATCATTGGAGACTCATTGTTGAATGAGATGTATACTGATGGAGCCTAAACATGGAATGAGGCAAATACTACTTTCGGAACTCAGCCTCTTGTCACTCTTTATTACTGAAACCCTTTTCTAACAACTGATTCTGCTTGAGCTGGTTTACTAGTATTGTACTTGAAAGAATTTGGATAGTTTCATGTATACTAATATTAATGTATAAAAATATTGTATATGAAACATGATTTCAGACTAACATTTTATCAACATTCCTTTAAAAGTGAAATGCAAACAATCAAAACTAACTTACAAAATGAAACAATACATTTTGAAACATCACTTTAAACTGGATAATAAATAGAGGCAATGCTAAATCAAATCACAAAGTTAGTTTCTAGCACTCAACAATTCAATTACAGGTTAAAAAATTACCTTATTCATGAAACCAGAAAAATGATTCAAACCAATTATAAAAATTTACATATAAATACATAATCAAAATAGGGCTTTATAAGCATTAGTCTATGAAGACATTAATGTCACCCTTCCACAGGCCTAAGTTTTGGTAATGGAAAGATACTTTACAAAATCCATGATACTGTGTGAAGGGAAACAGGTCTGTGTATCTTTCTTCAACTATTTGGTTATTTTTTCTGATTGAGCCAAGTCATGTCAACACAGTGGTCATCAGCAACTTCACAGATGGCAAAACATTCCATAGATACTGCAAAGGTCATCCTTCGTAAACATTGTGATACATGCATACAGCACCATAAACAATGTATAGTAACTTAAGTCTTTGTCCTAATTTTAAGTCTGCCTTATTTCAGAAATATTCACCCAATAATGATCTTTTAAAATGTTCAGAAAATGCATGACTTAACCTTTTCTTTAAATGTCCTAATGCAAAATTAAAGCAGCTTCAAACTTAGAAAAATATGACCATAATAAAATAGCAGGGAGTTAATCTTGCAGACTCATTTTTGTAGCACTGTTCATCTATGAAGCCTGCATTGACAATGAAATTCAAATAATTTAATTTTGTCAGTATTTTAAAAATAGTTGAGGGTTAAGGTGTTTACTGTCAAGTCTTCTGGGATGCAACTCCAAAATGTGGGATTGTAAAGATTGTTTTCAATCATCTCTAAGTTTTTTATCCAAATCAATGTAACTGCAATGATCTGATATAATTGTGAAATAAGCTTATTGAGAATGAAAACTCAGCCACAGAAGCATTTTCTAAGTAACATAGGACTGTAATTCAAATAATTATAGCCACACCACAAATCAACTTTCAGGTGATCAATCAATTCTTCCCTGAATGAAACTTTAAATTATCTAACAAATTTACAAGAAATCATAGGATGAGCAGAGCATCAATAAAACTTTCATACAGTGTGGTTATAATTCTGAAGAGCTGCCCATATTCTTTCTCATACAGAGATCCTAAAGAGTCTCTTTAAGTCAATTTAAAGAATTTAATATTTCCATTTGTGATCAAAGATATATTTATACAACATAAAATGATTATCAAGTGGGCTAAGAATCATTTTAAAATTATGACATGAAATAGTCTTTAAAGTTCATACATTAGTATAGCAACTACAAACAAGTTACACCAAAGTTAGTCGTAGGCCATTTATGTAGTGCCAGCAATGCAGAGTTATATTTATGGAGATATATAAGTATATTGTTTATCCAAATGTCTATGTACATATCATATTGATATTGGCAAATGTGTTATTGGTGAATCCAATTTACTGAGCCTTTGAATGTGCCAATAGAAATATGGCAGGTGTGTATAAAATTGCTGAATGGGCAAACTGATATTGAGATAACTATATTGTACAATATTACAAAAAAAACATTCATAGCAGGAAGAGCATTTTCCACCTTACTGAGCCAAGATCAACACAAGACAAAGTTCCAGTATGGGGAGAATACATTTCTTCCCATTGACAGGGAAAGTTAAAATAATTCAGCAGTTGGGCAGGTGGAGGGAATAACATTCAAACACATTTTTAAGATCAGAGACTGGTAATAGAACATCTGGGCTTTGTCTACTTTGAATCATACTCTTCACCTCCAATTCTTGCTGATTTAGTGGTTACAGAATTATTAATCAAGGATAATGAACTGAAGTCACAGCAAACTTATGCAATGCTTCTATTTCTGACTTGATTATTTTTCTCAGTTATTAAAGAATGAATCTGTTGCTTAACGACTGGAAACTGTAAACTCCTCTCCCCCAAGGTTTCTATATATTAAGGAACAAAAATAGAAGTTACTGGAAAAGCTCAGCAGATCTGGCAGCATCTGTGAAGAAAAAATCAGAATTAACCTTTCAGGTCCAATGATCCTTCCTCAGAATGGAAGGGCCTGAGGAAGGGTCACTGGACCTGAAATGTTAACTCTGATTTTTTTTCTTCACAGATGCTGCCAGACCTGCTGAGCATTTGCAGCAACTTCTGTTTTTGTTCCTGATTTACAGCATCTGTAGTTCTTTCAGTTTGAATTCTATATATTAATGTTTATGTTTGTCAGTCAGGATATTTTGAGTTGTCCCTGTAGTGGACTGCAGTATATTTTAACCATCCTGTAATGTTTAGTAGTCAGCAAGATCAGCTCCAAGTGTTACCAGGGTCATAGCTGACAGTAAAAACATGATATTTCTTCAAACAGGCAAGCTCTGGTCTACTGTGCTAAAAATAAAATAAAATGGGTAGTACAATTTTCATGACAGAAATGCACCAATCTTGCAACTAATCCCATTTGATTACAACATCGTATTTAGAAGTTCGTATATGCTAGAATAGTAGAACAGTGTCTCAGCATATCTAAACGTATTTGCTATCATTAGCACTTGACAGTCAATCACATTTATCTAGAAGGTGCTGAAGTGGTGCTCCTTACATCTGCCAAAATTTAAATTGCAGAGGTACTTCAATGGTTTTGGGATGTTCTGAATTCGGGAGCTTTGAATTCTTCCAGCTGTGACATTTTAATAACGTTTACAGTCAGCTGCTGATCTTAACTCTTGTGCTGCATCTGAAAGAAACCACTTTCAGTTTTAGGGTTAATACAGCTGACAAGATGAGTTGTGAAGGATCCATAATTTTGTAAAAAAATCAATTTACAGTCTAACACATTAGTTTCTACGTAATTTTTATGCCAAATAAAAGCAAACAAGACTTTGCAATTCATTTGGTTTCAAAGACATTTCAAAGTTAGAAACTTTCATGAGCCATCTTTGACATAACCGTAATTTTTAAACAAATAGCAAACTTTTGGAAAGTTATATAGGATGAGAAAATTCCTATTTTTACAGACTAATTTTGCAACATGGGAGGCCAAAACTTGTAATTAGATCAGCTATTTACGCTGCCTTTCGGTATCATCGAGACTCTGTAAAAGTGACGGAGTATATATTTATGTAAGACTGCATCTTTTCAGTACTGTAATTTATACCAAACATTTGGTCACTAAGAGGTTTTTTTTTGTGTAGCATGCAAGGAATCATTTCTTTCTTACTGCACTCTTGGTTCATTTATCTTTAAGTCTTCTGTGCATTCTGAAGTTGCGACTTTTCAAATAAACAAATTCATTAAAATTAACATGGGTTGCTACTTCATCTTTTCTTAAAGTGGAAGATAATTAGCGGTGAGAGTTTTAAATTACCCTGTTTTCTGCCATTATTAATCATAAAGAAACTCAGGAGTGGACAAACCATACGTTAAAAATAAGCAGGTTGAATAGTGTTTGCATTATTCAATTTTAGCGAAGCTTGGCATAGGGATGTAGTGGCCCTGGCCAGATCAGAATCTTCCTTCTTCCAAAGATGCAGAGCAATCTTCACTTTTCTTCAGTCAGATCCTGAAATAGGAGAGATGGTGGCATAGTGCTAATATCACTGGACCAGTGATTCAGCCACTTAGTTCAAACGAAATTGCAGATATACAACAAATGCTGGCTTTTCCAGTGACATCACATGAAAAAAAACTGATCCTTTATATTTATGCTTTGGGAATATGCAGCGACAATACACAATTTTTTCTGTATTCAGCAATCATAGAGATACACAGCAGGGAAACAGACCCTTTGGTCCAGCTCGTCCATGTCGACCAAATATCCTACATAAATCTAGACCAATTTTCCAGAATTTGCCCCATATTTCTCTAAATCCTTTCTATTCATGTGCCCATTCAGATGCCTTTCAAATGTTCTTCTGGCACTTCCACTGGCAGCACATTCCATACACGCACCACCCTCTGACTAAAAACATTGCACCTTATAGATCGCTGTTAAATCTTTCCTGTCTCAACTTAAACCTATGCCTGCTTGTTCTGGACTTCCCCACTCTGGGGAAAAGACCTTGTCTATTTACCCTATCCATGCACCACCATGATTTTGTAAACGTTTATAAGGTCACCCCTCAGCCTCTGATGCTCAAGGGAAAAGAGCCCCAGTCGATTCAGCCTCTCCCTATAGTTCAAACTCTCCAACCCTGGCAACATCCTCGCAAATCTTTTCTGAACGCTTTCAAGTTTCACAATATCCTTTCTATAGTAGGGAGATCAGAATTGCATGCAGTATTCCAATAGTGGCCTAACCAATGTCTTATGCAGCCACAACATGATGTCCCAAACCTCACTTAAAATATTTTACAATGTTAGTTTCATGCTTACAGCAGTAGCCTTAATTTAGTTACTCCATTCTAAGTTACCACATCCAGGCTTAACGAATCATAAATCAGTGAACAGTCAACAGAGACACATAGC